TGCTAGATACGGTTGCCGGTGACGGTGCTAAATACGGTTGCCGGTACCGGTCACGGTGACGGTGACGGTGCTATTGAAGTGATATTGAAGGTGCACATTAAGTGTTCTGTTGGCGGTTCCGACATGATTAATGTGTCATTCAATTTGTTATACTAAGTTGTTGTCTTCTATAATGTAGTAGGGTGTAATATCCTTAAATTGAAATTATAGAAAGATTCTTAATAAGTGACAACCTTGTCACTTTACTGTTGAATTATAAACTAGTTTTGTTTGTATATGTAAGACCAATCATTACCGGGGACCTGGCCAGACCAGTGAGAGAGCCGGCAAGACACATTCTCTCCGTCGAGGAATATTTTTGATATTAATGAAATATGAAACTTTATTTTATTTCACAACTGAGAATATATATATAAACACAAGTATACGATTTCCCTTTCTGTAACGTGTTTTGGTCCGACGGTAAACAGTGGACGTCGAACCTTACACTTTATAGATCATTTCACTCTCTTTTTCTTTGTGACCCTGTGTTCTCTGGTGGCTGACTCTAGCACCAGGAAAGCAGCGTTTCAATATTTGTTGTAATAGCAATGAAACGAGTCATTTCGAATACCGGTATGAAAATGAGACTGTTCTATGACGACTTTTATTTATTGAAGGCACTAATTTATCAAATACAAAATCATTGTATTTTATTGGCGCTTAGTAATAGCGTATTTGAATAAAATTCAAAGAATTAAATTTACTACAATACAAACAATTCTTAGCTCTATTTTAGAACATGTAATCTAAACCTGTTGAAATGAAGTTAGTTTAAAATTTGTCAAAGTAAGCCTTAAGAAGTCTTTTTTTAAATATGTCTTTTAATTTAGATTTATCATGCATGTCTCTATACATAGTATGCGACGATTAACAGTTTATAAGTAGGTGTTCTCATATTTGATTTGATACGGTGTATTTATTATGGATATATTTTAGTATCAATTTAAAATGTAGTTTCAAATATGTTTCACTTCAAACGATAAAGTAAAACTTCTTCAAAACTTATATATGATGTATAGTTCGGCGTCCGCAAAAAAGAAGCCAAGGTAAAGTATTTATCTCTTCTTCACAAATACGTATTCCATTGAATCTCGATATTTATCATGTTTATAATTTTTCTAACAATGACGTTCTACCTCCATAAGCCTGGAAATTTCATGGCGGGTCACAATTTATATACATAAATAAAGATACCAAATATTATATAAAAATGGGTACATTCTTTTAGACAAACATAGCACACCACTACCAAAAACAATTCAACTTTAATCTTGGAATTTCCAACTTTAATCTTGGAATTATCAACTTTAATCTTAGAATTATCAACATTAAAGTTGGAATTTCCAAGTTTAATGTTGATAATGCCAAGATTAAAGTTGATAATTCCAAGATTAAAGTCGACAATTTGAAAAAAACTAAATAAAAAAGAATGGCCCTAATACGCTTCCGTAGGTTTTAAAAGAGTAAAATTTATATATTTCCAAAATTATCTACAGATTGATATTTAAAATTCATTGATTCTGTAAGAGATTGTAAATTTGGACATTATTAAAGGAAAATTCTAAAAAGTACTAAAACAAGAGTCAACCAATCGTATATGCTAAAATACGTTCTTAACTCTGTCACTTAAAATAACCAAATAGAGATATGTTTATATTTTAATGGACAGAGAGATGGTAAGTTTAAAAAAATGTGATTTTAAGATTTTTAAAAATGCATTTTTACTGGATTATCTCCCTTTGTACCATAGAAATTCAATATTTATGGCATCATAAATTGTAATTGAACTATGGTCATCGTTACTTTGACTTATTTTGTTAACTGTTATAGTGCTTTTGAAGAATAAACACTTAAATTTCCAAAATTATCTACAGAATACCTTTCTTAAATTCATTGATTTATTGAGAGAAAATGTAAATTTAGGCATTTTTAGAGTAGAATTTTAGAATGTACTACAATGAGACCCCAGCAAGTTTACTAGCTCAAATGCATGATTAAGTATTCCAATTGATAAAACATAGGAAGTTATCATCCACAAACAGTTTCTCGAAAATTCAAGTACTGAAGAGTTAATAAAGCTTCAACACTTTAATATTCAATTAATCATCGTTCTTTATCTCGTTGTTTTCTGCATTCATAAGTTTCAGGGTGTTGAAATTGGTCATTTTCATAGAAAAATACTGCATCCAACATGGGGAAACTGGTTCCCGGTACATTACAGCATCTCCTAACTGAAAGGCATGGGAACCAGCTGAAATATTTGTTTGATGGACTTCTTTCATTATGTTGTTTAAGCACACAAATTTTCAATTAAATCTGATGACTCCCTTGTGGATTGTTTTGCATGGTTTTATGGTAGACTGGGTGTTAAGTCTTTGACGTTAACAATAAGAGTTGCATTAGTTAGTGTCTCTGTATAGCGGCTTATTCGTAATAGTAACGTAATTAGCGCAATGCAACCAATTAAAACTACCGGCAGCAAAAGGGATTGATTTGTTTCACATTTGTTCATTTTTTATAAAACACTACGGTTGTTTTCTTTTCATCATGATGTCTCTCTAAAACATCAAACAAATCATGTATAATACTTTAACTAAATGTATATCACATACAACATTTATAATATGCATTTGCTTCTTGATATGTAACAGCTGAGCTATTTTAAAGAAAACATATATTTCTTTTATAATACAAAATGGTTCATATTTTCTTGTTGTGTATGAATTTAATTTTAACCATCTCAGATCAATAGCGTTTTGTCATTTTTAAATTTCTTAATGTCCTATTTCAAAGAACCAGCTACTGCGCCATTTAAAACTAATAATAAAACATTATATAAAAACAACTGAAGTGGACAATGGAGAATCAAAATAAACTAATAAGTATTAATAATAATAGTATAAAACCAATTTTATTTACAATTATATGCATCAAACAGTGCCATAGTGTATCTTTTGAATTAATAGACAGTTCAATTGCAAAAGCTGTTATTATAGTTAGAAAGATTAATGTATATATGAGGGTAGTCTCAGTGTAGGTGCACAATGTTCATTGGCTATTCGTTAGGTCATTGATGACTTTCAAAGGTTTAGACAATGTACATTTCGTTCATGGCAATGGACATATGTGATGTCTTCAATAGTATATGAAACACGTACACTTTTCACCTGATAATCTTTTTTTTTTTGTTAAATTTTATTACTTTCTGAACCCACTGTGCTTGAAGCAGGACATATGACGTCATGCTGGTATGTGCAAAAGACTAGATTAACGAATCGCAAATTTTTTTTATTAACACAATGAAAGTGTTGACCATAAGAGAAATAGGTTTAACAACTCGTGAGAATTTGATATCGCTTGAAACAACTCGAGATATAAAGTTTCAATATCATAATAAACGATAATAAACAATGCTTGAGCAAACATTTATACAAACAAAGCAAACAAGCCAAGCAAAGTCTTACTCTACAAGCATTAGGAAATTAGCTCTAATGCGCATTGGAAAGTAGTATTATTTCTTGAGAAAAATAATTTAATAATGAGATTTTTTCAAATACAAGAGTTAAGTGCCAGTGTGTAGCTAATAAAGACCCCCATTTTTCCCGTGAAAAAAAGAAAGAAAAGAACAAACAGAAATATGAAAGAGGAGAAAAACAGGACAACACTTCAAATTTATAGATCGAAATAATGATTCCAATTATAACTAAAATGTAGTTGAAATTGATGGGAAGGTATGAAAAATCCCTCTTTCTCAATAAATGATGATTCAATTTATATCTAGCTAATGTATTTCATTCTGCATAATAATGACCCCAAGGTTGTACTGGTGTACAGAAATATGTTAACCTATATTTCTCCCGTGTGGCAGTATGGTCTATACCAAGGAGGGGCGTTTGTCTTTGTGTTGTGGGATATTCCGTTACGTATCTGGAAAGGCTCCGCGGTAGAAGAATTTCCAAAAGTTTAATTTTGGACCCTGATATGGATCAACTTGAAAAACTGGGCTAAAAATCAAAACTCCAAAAACATTATTAGATTCAGCATATCAAAGTACCCCTTGAATCCAATTTCCGTTTAAATCAAACTAAGTTTAATTTTGTACCCTTTGGACCTTAATGTGCATCAATTTTAAGACCGACCAATACTTTAAAATCTAAATACACGGTTAGATTCTGCATATCAAAGAACCCAGATAACTCAATTTTGATGAAATCAAACAAAGTTTTAATTTGGACCCTTTGGACCTCAATGTGGACCAAATTAAAAACGGTCTCATATAAAAAATCTAAATACAAGGTTAGATTCAACAAATTTAAGAACCCCAAGAATTAAAGACTTTGAATTAAACCCCATTGAAATTAGTCAAGAAATAAGCAATTTATACAAAGTATTAGAAAAGTATTGTTTTTGGCCCCTTTTTCCAAAACGGTTAGAGCCATAACCATCTAAATCAATCCCAACCTTCCTTTTGTTGGAATGAGAGCAAATTAACAGTAAATCAAAGTGAAGCGTGAAATTAAATTTAGACTGCAACTGGGAAAATAGGGTATGTTGGAAAGTATCTTGGTCTACCAGTTGTTAGGCTGAAACATCTATGAATAACTTATGAAAATAACTTTTTAAAAATCACGTTTTGTGTAGTGATAGAAGCACACTGAATATCATTGAATTTAATTTGACCTCAGTAGCCGTTTTCATCTATAGGTATTCTTCGGTTGCTCTTACTGTACTTGGAGACTAATGAATGTTTTCAATCAATATCAAATGAAATAGACTTAATGGTGACATCATATTTAACTGATTTCTATTCAAAAAAGGTATTATAAAATGTATCTCAAAGGGTAATGTTTATCTCGATGTTTAAATTCAATTTTGTGTAGATATATTACATTAAAGGAGCCAGATGGTTGTTTCATTATAAAAGAAATATAATCTTCACATAAATTGACTAGTTTTATGTAATGAACAACCAAAGGGCCGTGTCGTTTGGACTGGAAACGTCTTTTTGAGTATCAAAAAAGGTTTGTCTTTCACATAAATTCTAAATACACGTTGTACATTATTTCTTTCTTTTCGATTTTAATCCATAAATAAAACATACATTTCATATCATATTTCTTAACAAGAATTATGTCTTATAATTGTATCAAATTTACGTAATGAAACGTTTAGTTTAAACAGTATTTTATTTAAATAAATTGAATTGGATTGGACAACCGGCAAAGCCTATGTAAGCCCTCTTCATAAAACAAGGTACAATATATGACATTCAAACAAAACAACACATACACATTCACATACACAAACATAATGACAACACAGAATTATTCAAAACTACCTCATCATAGCTGACTGGAAGGATGCTTCAAATAGTTAACTCAGATAGAAATTATAAATATTCTAAGAATGCTTCAAATAGTTAACTCAGGAAAGAAAAATATTACCTATTTTTTTGTTTTTTATTCCGATTTGAACATGTTGAAAAACAAAAAATATACAAAAGATGGTTTGAATGATATAGAAAATAGAGGTGCATTTATTGGATTTTTAGCTTATATAATATCAATTATTGTCATTTATTTTTTAATTTTTGTTTCAATTTTAACTATTTTTCAGCCGGTTGGGGTCTAATAACTTGATTATAGACATACAAAGTTTATTAAGTTTCAGACTATAAAATATATTTCACTATACAAATCTTTCTTTAATGTACTCATGAACAGCCTTAACTATCTGAATACTGTCTTCAATACTCATTGATTGATCACCAAATAGTAATAACTTCAAATCAATATCAACTACATAAGCAGACAGTTTATCAAGGAGTATGGTCCTGTTTAAAGTGTATGATGGACACTAAAAAAAAATAATGTTGATTGTCTTCACATTGATATAAACATTTAGGACAGGAAGGTTCTTCAATCAAAAAATCATGAAACAAGTGAGAATTTAAATTACTTGCTTCATTTCGCAATTGAAAATTAATAATATTGAATTTTCTTATACCAGAACAAAAAATATTTAGGAGGAATCTCTGGTTTAAATATTTACTCAAGTAAAGATTTGAACTGGTTAATCGACAAAGCATTTTTTACATAAGGATCTAATTCATTCCAGAGTTTAACAACAGATGGTATGAAACTTCTATAATATGAAACTGTTCTGCACCTTGGAATGGTATAATTCTGAAGATCTATTCTAAAATTGTAATCGTTTTGTGTGGAAAGACATGGTTCTAATAAATCTATCATATAACTAGGAGAAAATCCATTTTTTATTCTATAAAATGTAGTCAGTTTATGCTTCTTCCTTCTGTCTGATAATTTTGCAAGAGATAATTCAGTGTACATTTTTTTAAGAGAAGTTAAACGCCGGAGACCAGTAATAATACGAGCAGGTTCAAATTGAACACTTTCCAATAAGTAAGCTTTTTGTAAAGTACAATTATCCCATATAATGTTTGCATATTCTAGAATAGGGCGAAAAAATGCTGAATAAATTGTATTAAGTACATTTCGATCCTAACTATATTTTACTTGTCTTAATAAATGTAGTCTAGAACATGCTTTTTTATAAATTGCACTTATATGTAATTTCTAACTAGCCTTACTCTCAAAGTTGAGACCTAGGTGACAGTGACTTTTAACTTCTTTAATTTGTTCCCCACCAATACCAAAATATAAAGAAGGAGGATTTGTGAAACGTTGGTTTGGAAGGGGGTAAAAGCGGAAGACACCAACTGGGCAATAAAGTCCTCATAGGCCAGAGAAATATGGACAACAGCATGGTACTCACCGTTTTTCTATTACGGTTTTGAATTCAATAACTGGTATCCGCAATACTCCACTTAATATGCAAAAGTAAATTCCGGTAAAAAAGTATAACAAAAATATCGAACTTGAACGTAAACTCAAATAGGAGAAGTCCATAAAAACTGACAAAATTAAACGTTATCAACCAAATATAGGACGAATAAAACTCATAACACCAAATAAAGAGCCTGTTTTGCTCACCTTCATCTTCAACAATGGCCACTTTTTAGTAAAATCACCAGTAAAGGGAAATAACTCTATTAAGATTTAACTTACAATTTCCGTCATGTCGACAAATTTGTAGATCTTATCCTGCTGATAATTTTTCATTTTTAAAAGTTTCTATTTATTTATCATTATAGTTTTCAAGATAAAAGACAATAGCTCCAGTAAAGAGTCGACTGAAGATTTTGGAAATTGTTGCTTATTTTTAGATCTTGTCTTGCTGATTATTTTTGCCTTTTAAATTTTTTATCTAGTATCTAATACAGTTTTTAAGATATAATGCAAAAACGCAAAAAAAATGGAGAAAAAAAGTTATTATAGGGCAATAACTCTAAAAAGGAGTCGACTGAAGATCTTGACAACTTAAGTTATTTGTAGATCTTGACTAGTCTTGCTATTAGATAGTGTCAATTTTTGCTTATTTTTATACCTTTTTTCTTTATTCTTTATCATTATTTGTTTTCTATTATTTATATTTTTAGAACCCTATTATTCTCTAATTTTTTTGGCCTATTTTCTCTATTCTTTTTTCCCTTTTATTCTGCTTTTTTGTCCTTTAAACCCCATCCAGACCCTCGTATATTTTATCAAATGAAATTGAGTTATGGAACTACTCTTTCTAATTCCGAGTTACATAGTTTGATAGGAAGATACGTCTACTATATTATTCTAGGTTCGAATCATAATTATTTGAAAATATTTTTCATTATTCCATTAATGATTAAAATATTAACTAATTATAACATTTACGTACTCAAACTTCTTTACAATATGCATGTACTCACACTTCATTATAATATTTATGTATTCAAACTTCATTATAATATTTATGTTCTCAAACTTCGTGATAATATTTATGTACTCAAACTTCATTTAAATATTTATGTATTCAAACTTCATTATAATATTTATGTTCTCAAACTTCGTTATAATATTTATGTACTCAAACTTCATTATAATATTTATGTTCTCAAACTTCATTATAATATTTATGTACTCAAACTTCATTATAATATTTATCTACTCAAACTTCAATAAAACATTTATGTAATTATTTTCATCATAACATTTATTCCCTCAAACATCATTATAACATCTATGTACTCAAACTTCATTATAACATATATGTACTCAAATTTCATTATAATATTTATGTACTCAAACTTTATTATAACATATACGTACTCAAACTTCATTATAATGTAAAGATAGAATCTTTTTTTCATTACATCATTTTTCCGTTTATATTCTATGTTACTTTTTTAAGACACATAACACAGATACATGTCCATACATGACCGTTTATCTATGACGACCATATATGAGGGTCGGGGGCTTCATTCTTCATTTCTGTATTTTTAAATATTTCATGTCATTTTTCCCTATGTATATTTTTTGCAAAGGTTCATATTGTAAATTTTGCTTGAAACAAAGGCCGAAATTCATTTCATTTTTTAAACAGTCCTGTATATAAGGGTCTGGATGGTACGTCTTCATTTCAGTATTATTTGAATTTAGACAATATTTCACTATTCTTTATTTTGAATTTTTTGTCCATTTACTCTCTAATCTTTATATTTTTTACCCATTGTTCTCTTTTCTTTTTATTTTAACAACCCACTATTTTTCTCCTCTTTATTTTTGGGCCCATTGTCTGTAGTATTGATCCCTATCCTAAAAACAACATCAAGACCCTCATATATATTTTGAATATTTTATACTTGACATTAATGTTATATTGGTATAAAGTTCTTTGGTTGAGAAAGCCTTTCTATTGTATTCTATCCAAATTTCTTTGGATTTCTTGTATAACGAATATCTAAAACATAGCATCTTTTTAAGGATGTTCGCTCCTCATGTTTTAGAATTTTTGTCAGATATTCGGAATCCTCTGGTTTTATCTATGTAGTGCCATTAAAACAATTTTCCTGCTAAACCCTACTTTTCTTTTCATAATTTTATTATATATAGTTTAAAAGCCATTTTTAAAATCTTATAAAATCCTTGTTATTTTTTCATATATTTTGACAGAAAAAAGGTGCCAATGTTAAATGTATGAAAAATCTAGAGGGAATCATTTCCCGCCAAATTTTCAAAGGCTTATATCTCGAAAACAAGCACACGGACCCTTAATTTTTTCTGCTTATTTAGTTCCTTTATTCATGTACTATCAATTTATAACAGTCTTTTAAAAAGTTTGTTATTTTGTTGACAGAGTAGCGAATATCTTTAATGTTATATTGGTATACAGTTCTTCGGTCGAGAAAGTCTTTCTATTGTATTCTTTTAAAATTATTTGAATTTACGAATGACGAATATCTACAAAATGTAAGACGTAGCATCTTTAATATATTTTAGGACTAACAAGATGCACTTTTCTCGGACCACAGTTATGTATTATGAACTTTTAACATTGATGTCAATTGGCACTGGCATTCTGTTCATTACTTGTTATCTCCATAATATCTTTCCGATACAGTTGGTAAACACAAAATCAACAGGAATTGCAGATAAAAATATATACAAGAAAATATATTCAATAACGTGGAATAAACGACCTAGCGTGATACCAACAGGTCTGCTCAAATATAAATTTAGGAAGTGTGAGTTCAGGAATTGCAAGATTGGTGTAGCATCGGATAAAATTTCACTTGGTAAAAGCCATGTTGTGTTATTTTATCATACTAGCCTTAATGGTAAGGTTCCAACTAAGTCGTCCAATCAGAAGTGGGTATTTATCTCTATTGAATCTAAAGCATATACAAGCAAAAACTTTTTAAAAAAAAAATGGGTGAATAAATTTGATTGGGTATTCAGCTATAGAACAGATGCTGATATCTATTTCCCGTACGGACTACTGGCAAGAACAAAAATACAAACTGAGAAAAACTACACAAATATTTTCCTTCAAAAGACGAAAAATGTTGCTTGGGTAGTGAGCAATTGCAATGCTGCTTCAAAGAGGAATATATACATTAAGGAGATGAATAAAACCATAGATGTTGACGTATTTGGAAGGTGCGGTAAAAGTTGTTCTTCTCCTTGGAATGATGACACCTGTTTAAGCGATTTAAGTAAAGTATATAAATTTTACTTGGCGTTTGAAAATTCTCTATGTGAAGACTATGTCACTGAAAAGGCATTCCGGTTCTATCAGGACGGTTTTGACATAATTCCAGTGTACCGGGGAGCTCCGAATATAAGAAACATTTTACCAGAAGGTACATTTATCTCCTCCTTGGATTTTACGTCGCCTAAAGAACTAGCTTTACATCTAAAACATGTGGGAAGTAATGAAAGTTTGTACACTAGTTATTTGAAAGCAAAAGATCAGTTCTTGTCAAGCTCGTACTCACAACAGGAGATGTTGCAATCTCTTCATTGTTCTGTTTGTGAAAAACTCAACACAGGGTATAAACGAAGCACTAAATTGAATTTAACACACTGGATATTTGAAAAGAAATGTCTTATCCCTACAGACATTTGACAATATGATATGCAATGGCGTAGCTTACATTAAGGCAATGGGGCAACTACCTCACAAAATGTGTTGCCGAGAAAAAAATTGAAGGGGGAAATAAAGAAAAAAGATATAATATATAACTTGTTTTCTGTAATGGCCCTTATCATTTGACTTCTCTCGCCTTTCCACAGTTATATCTTCTTCTAAACTTAAGTGTCAGTCTGCCTAAGAATCAGGCAGTTGTGAAAACATGACAAACAAAAACCCACTCATGTTTACATTAAGTTAAGTTCAAATTGTATAATGGCGCACGAATATACCATTCGTTTTCTTTTTCTGTTCTGGCAATTCAAGATATAATTTGGTTGAAATGCACTAGAAATTAACAATTAAGGGGAGACAACTCCGTAATTTGCTATCATTCTAATCAGAAGTTTTCAAGAGATTTCTCAAATTACAAGACACGCAGAAACAAAAGACCTACCATTTCTAACCAGGATGAAGGTAACTTCAAATTAGTATGGTTAGGTCGGTGTTTTTTTTGTCATGTTTTGAACTTTTCTAAATTGCCTGATTCTTACAAAGACTGGCACTTAAAGTTAAATGATAAAATAGTCCAGCTTTGTTTTATATACAATGGGCATAGGATACAGAAATATCTTGATTGAGGAAGAGACAAATCGTATCATTTAAAAAATACGCTGGTTCACAAAGTTCTGGTTGACATTCCTATGGGAACCAAAAGTGTTCTTCTTATTCCTTTATTCCTAATAGACAGACTTCATACATGGGCTTTTTGGAAAGAATGAAAACAAGCTACAATATCCTGTAACTTCACGTTCTCCTTGATATATTACTTTCTCTTACTGAATATTTCAAAAGATCTGTGAAATTGTGGTCGCACTTAATATAAAGGATATAACAGATACATTAGATTAATTGGCTATTTTAGTTATATAGCTCTTAAACTGTTTCGGTTTTATGGCCATTGTAATATTATAGTTCGTTTCTGTGTGTGTTACATTTTAATGTTGTGTTTCTGTTGTGTCGTAGTTCTCCTCTTATATTTGATGCGTTTCCCTCAGTTTTAGTTTGTAATCCGAATTTGTTTTTTTCTCAATCGATCTATGAATTTCGAACAGCGGTATACTACTGTTGCCTTTATTTATTTATCTTTAGTTTTCAAGTATTCGGTTTTCGGCGTTCGGAAGCATGAAATTTATAACGTGCTGTATCTATATTTTATACAGTTAGTTCTTCGAAAAATTTGTCTTACCTACAAGTTATCAATGAGCCTGAGCTGAGCTTTTTCGACCTGAGAGATAATTTCAATTTGAGAATTCTTATTGTGAACTTGTCTTTTTTTTAGTAGCAACAGTCTTTCATACAGAGTATATATCTGCCAGTTGGCAAGATACTTCAGAGCTTGTGTGTCGTATCATGATATTCTAAATAGAAAATTGCTTCTGACAAGGAAGCTGTTGAACCAAGTATTCGTAATGGTAAGTTGAAGTTATCATGTTCGTCAACTGTTGAAAATTTTACTACGCCACAAGGGTTTGGTTGTTGAATATTTGTGTCACAATAAGCCAAGATTATGTTCAACTTTTCATAGCCACAATCCTGTGCTCCTTTCCTAGTTTATGCAACGGTTCATCGGATTCTTGCAAAGAACAATATAATGGTTGTCACAAGTAGAACATAACCTGCTTACCCCTTCCGGAGCACCTGCATGTTCGATATTAGGCGAAGTTAATGTTGCCTACGTTAAAGTTTTCTTTGGTCTTTTCTGAGGAATTGTATGTGTCTGTTTGTCCTTGTTCCTTTGGTTAGGTTGTTGTCTAATTTTTTTCGACATGGATTTAGATTTAAGGGGTTACCCAACACTTTGACTAAATTAGATTTCGATCGTTTAATTTTCTTAAAATTTTGACAAAATATTTACTTTTACCTGTTAACTAAAAAAAATATAGATGGAAACTACGGTGGTGGAACCAAAACCTACATTATCTCATGCATGTTCATTGAAAACGGTTACAATGCTTTGAGGAAAACAGCGCTTTCAAACCTAAAACAACAATTTGTCTTTAGAGATGATGGATTATCCTTCATTTCACATCCTCACAAAGTATGAGGTTTCCTGGTTATGCTTGTTTTCCCCAAAAATATATGTAAATATTGGACAAAAATAAGATTAGGAAAATAAACTATTTTAAACTAATTTGGTGACATTATACCTCATTAGATGTTATAGTGCGCGCCAAGCTCTATATTTACAACAACATTTTGGCAATATACAGATCCAAATGCCCCGTTCCTTTCTGAATTTTTAGGTCCCCAATGCTCTTCAACTTCGTACTTAATTTGTCCTTTTAACTTTTTGATTCAATCGTCACTGATGAGTTTTTGTAGACGAAACGCGCGTCTTGCGTACAAAGAGGGGCGGTAGGAGGGAGTGTTATTCCCAATTCCCGAAAAAATAAAATATTCTTTCCCGGATCCCCTGAAAATAATCATTAATTCCCGCGTCCCCATAGGTTTTAATCCTGAATTCCCGCAGAAATAAAGGCCAATTCCCGACATCCCGAAAAAGTTCCTCCCGTCCCTCTACCAAATTATAAGCCTGATATCATTGATAAATTTGACCACTCGGTCGATGCCACTGCTGACGGAGTATTCTACCCCTATGGTATCACCAACCCACTTCTGTGTTGACAAGAATTGTCCTTGATGTGGTCATATTTATAAAATTCATGTTTACAAAACTTTGAATTGTTCGTAATACTGAGGATTTTCCATCCCAGCAGTAGCATCGTTTTATTTCCCAAAACATTTTGGTATTTCGGGTCCTAAATGCTCCATACTTTATTTTGCCTTTTAATATTTATATTCGAGCGTCACTGGCGAGTCTTTTGAAGACGTAACACAAATGCAGATTATTCTATTTTAGGGGGTTGACAGGACACAAATAATCCTTTGTATAAGCGTCAATGCTCATCTGAAAGAAAATCAAACAACCGACGAATAAATTCATGGGTATTTAATATTTTCACTTTTAATGAGGTTCATATAACTGAAGTGATTTTTTGTGTGCAGAATTTTAAACAAACGTGTTGCAACTAAGCAATGTGTGGGATAACGTGTTATGGACGACTTCATATATCATTCATATCTTGAGGTTAACTAAATAGAGGTAAGGGATTACAGATATTATTTTTTTAATATACTTAAAACTTGTCATACATGTTTTTCGTTCATTGTTTTGTCATTAATCAAGTTGTTGGTTTTTTCGTTTGCATTGTTCCACATTTAGCCATTATTTTAATCATTAAGTGGTTGTTTTCTTTTAATCATGATTTCCCGATAAACATTTAATAAATACAGTGTAATATTTTAACTGCATCACATACAACTTTATAATATCTATTTGCATCTAATACAAGGTCATCTATGGACTTCTTCCATCCTGTAGTAAAAGCCATGCTTAAAAGGTATTCCGTTTGACATTCCGGGATATATACATACAGAGCCACGTTCAGTCGGTACGTGTCAATTCGTGTAGAGAGCTTACCACGCTCTCTTCAGTTAAAACAACCGTTGAATCAACTCTGTAGTGACGTAGCTTGACTCTTTTCCAGTAAGGAAAACGATTTGAGGTTTAAGAGTAAAAGCCTGGGCCAAGATACTTTCCACCATACACTCCTTTCCCGGTGGCAGTCTACATTGAGTTTCTGCCCTTCATTTTGATTTTCTATTGATTTGGTCTCATTCTGAATAAACTCCAAGGATTGACTGGGGTATAAATAGGATGGTTATCAATGGACTTTTTCCATCCTGTAGTGCACGCCATGCTTAAAAGGTCATCCGCTTGGCTATGCGGGATGTACAATTACGCAGCCACAATCGATACGGACTTGGGCCTATTAAGTTTGATTCGTGAAGGTAAAAGAACCTTTGAATCAACTCTACAGTGGTGTAGTTGACTCTTTTCCAGTAAGGAAAACGATTTGAGGCTTAGTAGTAAAAGCCTTGGCGCGGATGAGAGACTATGATGCAGATTTGGAGCGGACAGTTGATAGCTGAAAATCGACACCACTAAAGAATTTTTAAATTCAACTTTTACAAATGCAAAACGTTGAATGTTATACAGGTTTGATTAATTGTTGTAACCATAACCGATCAGTCATGTTCAACAACATTCAGCACTTATCAACCCTATTCAATAGCGTCAAACACTATACAGAATTGACTTCTATTATGATTTCTGATCCTGAACAGCTTAATGAACTTTCAAAGGACCTCTTACTCAACACTATCTCCTACTAAGTATGATAGATCAAGCAGACCACACATTTTGATTGCGACCTGATAACCGTGGTATTGGTTTTTTTTTTTGGAAAAACCACTGTAACCTTTGTTTGAAATGATAAATTGTTGTTAGGAATCGAAGGAACACTAGGATTTGGGAAGTTATCACAAAGAAACGCACCAATTTTGAGTCGAACGTACCTGCCGATTTGATGCAATAGAAAGATGTTGTTAATTATAGAAAAAAGTCAGTAAACCACTAGAGTCATGTACATTATAGCGCCAAAAAACGAGATAAGGTTACCAGTGGGTGGAAATTGTGTCCCTGACGTACAATCAAGACAAACATGGTACTGGATTGCAAATCATGTTTCTTTCGTCTTATTTAAACAAGTTTTTGGTTCGATTAGATCTTTGCAAAGTCTCCTATAAAGCTGGCAACAACGGAGTAAGAAAATAAATTATGCTATGGCTCGCCGTCACATGCCATAAATAAAATAATGGTATTTAATATAAAACATGGTTATTAGCAACAATATGTTAATGAAGGTAGTGGTATTTTTTTTTTTAGACTGTTGTTTATTTACGCAGACGAGCATTTACCTCTTCAGCTGCAAAAAGTCTTGGAAAGAAAGCCGTGAATTTCAATACTTTTACAAAAACCGTTACGAAACAACAACACGCTAACATGTGATCTTCATATGCAACAGTGTTGTCCACAGCAGTTTCCAAGAATACACATTTACCTGGAGATGATCTGCCCAAAGTTATCTGTAAAAACTTTCGAAATATGTCTCACAATATGGATCAT